TAGCCACCAGCCACTGTTTGATTGTGTATCAGCTCTGCGGAAGAGCGGATATTGGCTTTGTTTGCCTGCAGCTCTGTTGTTTCTCATCTCTGTCCTTCCTTCCTTTTTTTTTCTCCAGCTTCAAGGAGATGCGAACAATTAATGATGTCTCAAAAAGACCTTTGGTCAAAACTGTGCTGCGTTTCTTGTATAAAATTAGCATGTTTCTGAGAGCTAGCGAGCAACAAGCCCTTCGCTTTTTTCCTTCTTTCTTCCTACATCTATGGCTCTTATCACTCACATCTGTGCTGGGAAAATAGATCAAAGCCTGGCTGGAATCAATAAAGGCCTCTTGGAAGTACAAAAGTAGCGCAAATTCGTTAGCACCGAAAGAGAATACAGACCCAAGGGCAGGGAGACTTAGTGTAAGAAACATTAGCGTTAGCATGTCTTCAGGCTTGGATATCATCACAATGATGCTTGGGAAGAAAGCTCAGGATGAGAGGGGCACATTCAGGATCCGAAGAAATGAAATACATGCAGATTTGAACCAATAAGGAAGCAGAACATGGCTCACAATGCGTGGATATACAAAAGCAAATGTGCGGAGATCACAAGGAGAGGGATTCATCTCAAAGCCATACGTAGGCACCGATAAATTAAGCCGATTTGACAAAGCCTGCTCATTTTCACATCCCCTAACACGGATAGATGGGGGAGGCGTGGCACATGCCCACGACGGCAGGGAGGAATAAATGTGGTGCCGTGGTTTACACATGGCATCGAGAGCGTGAGGATCATGAGGAGAGCAGAGGAGAGGAGGAAAGCTACCTTCAGGGAATAAAGCCTGCCAACCAGGCAATACTGTAAAATCCTAAAGACAGATAATTCTCAGATTAAGGCTGGATCAAGGCTGTATGGGAAACAATGGAGAGCCCATTGGCTTTGTCAATCAAAGACCTCCATAGACATGCTAATGTTCCTCAGCCTGCGCAGCTTCCAACACGGATGTTTACCCGTTACATTGCATGAACTTTTTTTAATTAAGACTGAACCAAGAGAAATTTAGGCCTAATGATTTCTGGGAACTAAAAATACAGATCTGGAAAATTTAGAATCATCATGCTGGTTGTATTTCATCTCTAGAGCTGTAGTAATAATCATATTCCATTGTTTAGTTTTGATTGGAAATAAAAGGATTAAAATATTTTAAAATGCCTGATCATAAGTGCACGGTTGGTTTTCCTTTTCTGTGATAACTATTTAGGCTACGTTTACACAGCAGGTAAAAGTGGCCCAAATCCGATCTTTTCCTTCATATGTGACACAGATGTGTGTCTGTGTGTCAGTGTGAACAGATAAACACACTGAATCTGACATTTTCAATTCCGATTTGAGACGCTTTCATATGTGGTGCTAAAATCCGATACGTAACCAATCTGCGGCAATGAGACTCAGTCTGAACAGCCAGATCGGAATTTATGCGACTTTTACGTCTGTCCAACTCGACATTCGTCATAATTTTGCGCTGCTGAGACTCAAACATTTAGGCTGATGTTTCTGTACCAAAACATTATAGAAGAGACCCATCAAACCGCTCCGTGTTCGACGAGGTTTCGAACGAAACGGCTGAAGGAGGAGCAGCCGGAGGAGACCGAGGCTGCAGCGTCAGAGTTGTGTCCGTGGCCGAATAACGCGCCCTTTTTACGGCGAACTCGAACACACTGTGGGTGATGAGTCCAGCTGTCAACCACTGGAACTTCATAATCGCTCCTGTGATGCTGGCGAAGACGAAACTGAACCCTCTGGAAGTGACTGGCGTTCACTGCCCGTCATGATTGTTTACCTCTGGACGAGCCACATGACTCTCTGTTCTCCTGTGCACGTGGGTCAGTTTAGGAGCTGATCTGTTCAGACTGATGTCGCATACAGATCACATTTAAAAGATAATCTGAACAGCCAAACAAAACAATCAGATTTGGTGTGAAAATCAGATTTGGGACACTTTTACTTGCTGTGTAAACATAGCCTTAGATACTGTCGCACTTCCCAGTTCTCATTCTGTTACAGACTCCACTTCCCAGAATCCCTCAGTTTGCCACATGACTCCACCAACCCAACGCAAGCCAACCAGGAGATCTCAGGTGCCTGAATGTTGATTACCATCACCTGTGTTTCCATGTGTGTAAGCCTGTCTGTGTGCACTGTGTCTTTGTGAAGTGTTGTCCCCGATCTGTCAGTGCATACTGAGCCGTTTTCAGGTTGATTGCTACCCTGTTTATGACCTTGCTTTGTTTTCCCATTACTAATTCTCAGATTTGTCCTTTTGGCTGTATGTTTGCTTTTTGGTTACGACCCTCGCTTGTTTTTCTGACTCCGTTACCATCTTCACCCATGCATTGTGTTTTGTTGATCTGGCTGCTGACCTGGTCTGGTGTTAACCCTGTTACTTCAGCTCTTTGTCCTATCAATAAACATTATGGTTTAACTTTTATCTGTCAGTGTCTAATTCGTCAACCCATTCGGCAACCGAGTAAGCTTCACTATATTGAATAGGGCTTCGGGAGCTGGTTTGAAGGCCTTACGTGTTAGATTAACTATCAACATAGTTAGGAAGTGACAGAGGAATCGATCAATCATGTTTTTGTTTGAGAAAGAATGTCATGCTAGATCTTCTGGATGTTCTAGATGACTGACTGTGAATACAGGCTGTAGTCTTAAGCAGTGTTCCGGTTAGTTGTTAGGAACGGAAAACAGCGGTGGCAGCTCTATGCCAGAACTCTTTACTGAAAGTCTGTTCCAAGCTTCAAATGTTTTTAGGTCAGAAAAGTTTATTTATTTATTTTTTTAATTCACCAGAATATTAGCCTACGCACTTAAAAACAATGGTTCTTTAAGGGTTTTTAGCAAAGAAAATGGTTATATAGAACAATGAACACTTTGCATGGTGAAATGGCTCTTCAGATTGATGGACAATGTGCTGTACATGGTTCTTCATAGAATCTTTTTGAAAAGGGTTCTACATTGTATTGCTTGACATTGGACCAGTAAAAGAACCCTTTTTGGTCCTATATAGAACCCTTTCTATATGCAAAGGATTCTGTGCAGAACCATATAAAACACATTCTTTATCAATCTGAAGAACCATTTCACCATACGAAGAACCCTTTAAGCATGCAGTGGGTTCTTCAAGTGTTCATGGTTCTACACAGAACCACTGTCTTTACGAAAGAACCCTTGAAGAGCCATATTTTTTTAAGAATGTAGTTGCTGCTGATGGAATTGAATAAATCCGGAAGACTGACGTCAGGAACCAAACCTGTGGTTCTAACCGTATTCTTCTAATAACTTCACTGAAAAGAAAAAGATTCTTGTCATATTTACTGTTTTTATGTTATATAATGTTTTTACCAGCAAAAAACACTAATATACTGCCTTGATAAATAGTTTTTTACAATGTAGCTTATCATAACATAACCTTGTTGTAATGGTAACTTTCCAGGAAAAAGAACAAACTTTCTATGTAAATGAATGTAAAGAGATTCTTTCCAAAGAATTTCAGACCATCTCTGTTGCTTCTTTCCTTCTCACACAATGTAAACAGCAGCTGGTATTTTCAAATTATGTCAAAAAATGTTTGTTCCGCAAGTGACAACACACTCTGTTCTTCATCATGGATGAAGATTGAATGACAGTGTACTGAATGTTACCTCGTCGGAGTTCCTGAGGATGGGACCCGCTGTGTTGACTGAAACAGGGTGAGTAAACAGGCCGTGTTTATGTGGTTTATATGGGTTTGTGTACATCTATGCTTATGAATTTGCGCCTTTGTTCATTTTCTAGGTCTCTTGCTTCTCCCTTCTCCCTCTCTAACTCCTTTACAGCGCTGTGAAGCCACACTGACGGAGCCGCCGCTGACCTACATTTTCATGCAACTTCATTTCGCTCCCTCAAAACATGACAGTCCCATCGCAGGTGCTCTAAAACTAAAGGAGCCCTTCAAACGGGACGAGGCGGAGAGGGAGATTTATGCACTCCGCTAAGTGCACTGGAAAAAAAATAGGAAAATTTGACAAGGACAGAGAAGCCACAAATCCCGGCGAATGGCAGAATGGTGCTGTCGTTCATGGCTGGAAGTCATGGGGCTTTTCACGAGCTTTTTAAAAACCCGCCGAGCGCCTCAGACAATAATGGATTGGGTTCCATTTGGAAGGACTCGAGGGGGCACTGGAGAGACTGGAGCCAGGCAAGAGAGGATTGGTGGCAGCAGTAGGACTGACAATAACGCTGGTTTTCTTCTCAGTCCAATGCTGAGTAATATCAAAGTACCCCAATACAAATACTGATACTATATATACTTTTATTTAGTTATTTATTTATTTTTTTTCTGAAATGAAGGTATTAATGGTGAGTTTGCCCTCCTTTTTGATGCAATAACTGCCTCTACTCTTCTGGGAAGGCTCTAGATGTTAGAACATTACTGTGAGGATTTGATTGAACATTAGTGAGGTCAGGTACTGAGTTAGATGGCCAGTTCTGGATCACTCCAACTCATCCCAAAGGTACTGGATGGAGCTCCATCACTCCAGAGGACACAGTTCCACTGCTCCACAGCCCAATGCTGGGGGGCTTTATACCCCTCTAGCCCACAATTGGCCGCTCTAGATGTTAGAACATTGCTGTGAGGATTTGATTGAACATTAGTGAGGTCAGGTACTGATGTTGGATGGTCAGTTCTGGATCACTCCAACTCATCCCAAAGGTATGGATGGAGCTCCATCACTCCGGAGATCGCAGCTCCACTGCTCCACAGCCCAATGCTGGGGGGGTTTTAAACCCCTCTAGCCCACAACGGGCTTTGGACATGGTGACCTCAGGCTCATGTGTGGCTGCTCCAGAGCATATTGGTCATTGCTCTTTCTATGGAAATTATATAAACTGGTTGCTGCTGGTTGTCTGATTACTTTTGGACAGACAGTATACCTTATCGACTCACCCATCCCTACCAAGCTGGTACTCACATGTAGAAGGCTTGTTGCAGTTGTGTCCGTGTCGGAAGTACTGAGGGTTCTCTATCACCGGTATTCGGGTCATGCCGATCACCACAGCGTCCGGTCCGGCGTCCAGCGTACACGGGGTTATAATCCCATGATTGACATGATGGAGAGGACTGGCAGAGTCTTCTTCACCACTGATAACAGCTACAGGACCTGAGAGACAGAAAAAGACAAAGGAAGATAGAGTTAGAGAGAGAGCCATCAGGCAGCTTCTGTCTGCACACACAAAAGAACACCATCAAAACAGCACGCGGAATAAATAGATGAGTCAGAGCATTCCTAATTTATGAATATGTCTGAGAGCAATAAGCAGCCAGGCTCATTTGCTGGAATGTGAATTGTCTCTGAGGTTCCGGCTAGACTTTTCACACTAGTCCGTCCATTTAGAGAAGCAGTATCCAGGTTAGAATGACCACAAGTTGGACAGGCACTATCTAACCTGCCCTCAAGACCACCATGTCAACAAGAAACGACGTTGATGTGCTAAAGCGTGTTCTCTGTAGAGCGCGTGTTAGCCTAGTTCCACCTAGAAAATCAACAAAAGCATGTCACTTTTGCATGTGATTGTATATATAAGTATATTCTACCAAATGAGGTCAAACTGTGGTCCCAAAGTAATAAATAAATGAGTGAGTAAATCAATCAATCAATCAATCAATCAATCAATCAATCAATCAATCAGATCTTCAATGTTTCTGAGAATTATATTTTGATGTATTTATACCCAAGGCATTACTAGGGATCGTAAAAAGCTAAATAATTACAAAATCATCAATTATAAGCAACTTTCTATTAGAAATTTCACAATTGTTTTTATTTTTTTTTTCAATACTTTATGTATTTTAAAGTGAAGATGAAATATTTAAATTAATAATGACTTTTGTTTTTAAATTTAAATAATAATAATAAAAAAATCCAAAACTGCTGCCTCATGCTTCCAAGTCAATACTGGAACAGAGTTTTAGTCGGTGGGAGGGGCCTCGTTTTAGCCACGCCCCTGCATTTTAGAGCAGGTGGTGAGGCTGCATCCCTTTCCCTCATGGCCACATGGTGAGCAGGTAGATCCCATCATTTTGTAATAAATGGGACCCAACATCTGAAAAATCTGCATGGAACATTAAGAATTGTCACATATTTCATGCAAATAAGCTTTTTTGCCTTTTGATGAAAAATATGATGATTTTATGTGTGACAGCTGTTCAAAGCTGTGTTTGCTGGTCATGTACTGGCTGAGTTCTGAGCTCAAAATGAGCTAAAATTGTCACTGCTGAAACATTCGCTACTGAGACATTTAGAAAAGTTTGGGTAGAGTTAAGACGTTGATGTACGTATGATGTTTTAGTAGTGACTAAATGGAATTTTCGATCATTAGTTTTAATAGAATAAACATAATTAAGCTATAGGGTCACTCAAAGCAAACTCTGGTTTGCGGTAGGATGAACCAGATACAGTGATAGTGATACTGATCGTGCTGCGTGATCAGAGCTGAACAGAGTGTCAGAAAAGGTCCTCAATCCTGACAATCATCCACTTCATAAAGCTCCGCTCTCTGCTGGTAAGGTCAGCCATAACGGCATGGAAGCGAGGGGTCAATCAGCACAGTGTTTACACAATCTGCTTACTGCTTACTGGGAGCTTTTGGAAAGTAGAGGTCACGCTGCATGAGCGCCGGGCTGCACACACACCTCACAAAACACACGCACAATGACCCCCGAGCAGGCTGCCGGAATCGGCTCCAGAGGAAGGAGGAAGAGAAGACAGCTCTCAGCCATCAGCACACAGGGGCCTGCAGTGTGGACTAAACACTAGCACTGTGGTTATGCTGCAACACAGCTTAGAAAGCATGGTTCTCCAAGGGTTCTTTAGTAGAGACAATAGTTATATTTAGAACCATAAACACCCAAAAACCAGGCATGCTCAAAGGGTTCTTTGCATGGTGAAATGGTTCTTCAGATTGACTGGTGACATCATATTTAAGCAGTAGAACACGAGAGGTCGACCAAATCGGCTGTCGGTCAAATGTGATCTTAAAAGTGTCCATTTTCTGTTTGTGGCAAAGTAAGAAGTAAAAACGTTCAAATGTCTTGAACGTCTCTTACAGCTGTCAAAGTCGTTGCTTAGCAACGGCGTCTCAGCGGAGTGATACAGTGTTTGTGAAAAAACGTGATGTTATGGTGAAATAACAGCAAAGATAGAACGATTCGACCAATCAGCTTGCGTGGCCGGAACTAACTGTTGTATACAAATAAAAATAATGCGTGGCCCGCCGTATTAATGAGTGGGAACAAGATCCTAATGTATGGCCATGACTTAAAGTGTGGGAACAAGATGTCTAAGATGTCTAAGTCCGGGCCACGACTTAGTATGGCATGGGAACGAGATTGTGCCTTATTAAGCTATGGTCAAACCTAAATTATCTCCTTTCCACTCCTTACTAAGTTGTGGCGACTCATTAGTATCTCGTTCACTTAATTATCTCGTCACAACAGGGCGCTGTAGTATATAGTTCTATACACCGCTAGAAATTAAGGTTCTGTTCAGGTACGTTTTTCGTTCATCAAGGTACAAACAGTGTAAATGTTCCCTCAAAGCTCCAACAGTGGTTTTAAGGTCTGATTGTGAACCTTAAATAAGTTTTTCCAGGTGAAAAGTTTGTATTTGTTCCTTTTCATAACCGAATGTTTTAAAACAGAACAGTAAAATAAAAGCCTGGAGACGAGACGGGGTGTGTGGAGTCAGTACAGCTTAGAACATATCATTTCAGTGGATTATGGTTCAGTTATGTTCCCTGACTAAAGGTACTGAGATGGACCTTTGAGGGTCCCACCCCAGTGACGAGAGGGGAACTGCCCCAGTGACAGTTCAGCACCTTTATTTCTGAGACTATATGGAAACTTTTTGAAAAGGGTTCTATATAGCACCAAAAAGGGTTCTGCTATTGTTAAGATGTCAGGCGTGTATATAATGTAACAGAAGAATGCTGTTTGATCCTATACAGAACCATATACAACACATTCTCCATCAATCTGAAGAACAACTGAATTCATTAGATGTGAAGGTATTTCTTCGTTTTTGGTAGGTAAACCATCTTCATGTTCTTCCCAAATGTCAACTTTACTGTCAGAGACATTATCTTATAATAAATCATCATCCTTTTGGCATTGAAGCCCCCAAAGCAGCCCAGTCTAATTCTACCAGTGTAAGTGTGTTACCCAAGACCTTTTACAGAGGCAAGTTGAACAGATGTGGTGGAGCTTCGCGTGTCTTGGAGGAAGCTCGTGCTAGCGCTTACCCTCCTAACTTGGTAGCACTGCACGCTAGGAGGAAATCTAGCTAGTGAGTGGAATTGGATATGATTCAATTTGGGAGAAAATTGGTGAAAAAGTGCAAAAATAAACGAAAAAACAAATAAAAACAACAACAATAACTCTACTGTAACCTCTCTTCACTTTTGACCTGAAACTCTTCTGGAACCGTGATTGGTCAAGATGGTCATGGCACACTGTGATTGGTTAGAAAGCTCATTTGCATACCGCTGTGCTCTGCCGCAGTACAGTATCATGATAACAGTTTACAAACAATGTATTGTACAGCTCCAACACAAACGCAGCCTCGGCTCTCAGCTCTCAGCTCACGCGCCTCTGAGAAAAGCGAAGTTGATACGCTTTTAAAAAAAAAACAGGCGTTTACTTGAAGAGCGTCTTTCCCCTGCGGTTCATAATGCGATTATAAATATGGATTCATCTCCTCTGTGCGGTTCAGGACAGAGCAGGCTGAGATGCAGCTGTACTGTAGTGCGTCTGAAGCAGGGCTTTTTGAGAGCAGTGGAAACATCAATGCTCAAGGTTTTCGATGGGCATAAACAGAAAACGTCCTCAGAAAAGACAATAAACAGACACCTAAAGCAGATGATAATGTAAATAAATAAAGACTATAATGACTGCATTTCTCCATGTCCTGCTCACATTACAGTGCTGCAGAACCACAATCTGTTCCTGAAAACTAAAACAACAATTAAAGAACTGATATTTCGTCTCACACTGATTTAACACGGAGGGTCCACACTTCAATTCTTCAGTCTTAACTGCAGAACTTACACATTAGTTTCATAATAGATACTGAACAATTCATATTAGATATTGAATAAATCGTAGTCATTACTGAACAGTTTAAAGTAGATACGGAGTAAATTACAGTAGTTATGGAATTATTTATAGTAGTTACTGAATAATTCATAATATCTACTGAATAATTCAAAGTTGATATGCATAATTCACAGTAGGTACTGAATTAATTCATAGCAGATACTGAATAATTCACAGAAGGTACTGATTCATAGTAGATGCTGAATAATTCATAGTAGATACTGAATAATTCACAGAAGGTACTGATTCATAGTAGATGCTGAATAATTCATAGTTGGTACTGAATAATTCATAGTAGATACTGAATAATTCATAGTAGATACTGAATAATTCATAGTAAGTACTGAATAATTCATAGTAGGTACTGAATAATTCATTGTAGTTACTGAATAATTCATAGTAGATACTGAATAATTCACAGTAGGTACTGATTCATAGTAGATGCTGAAAAATTCATAGTTGGTACTGAATAATTCATAGTAAATACTGAATAATTCATAGTAGATGCTGACTAATTCATAGCAGTTACTGAATAATTCATAGTAGATACTGAATAATTCATAGTACATACTGAATTAATTCATAGCAGCTATTGAATAATTCATAGTAGATACTGAATAATTCATTGTAGTTACTGAATAATTCATAGTACATACTGAATTAATTCATAGCAGCTACTGAATAATTCATAGTAGATACTGAATAATTCATTGTAGTTACTGAATAATTCATAGTAGATACTGAATAATTCATTGTAGTTACTGAATAATTCATAGTAGATACTGAATAATATGCCTGCAGTTTGAAATGATAGTTCAGTCAAAAATAAAATTTACACAGTTCCCAAAAGCAGTCGATTAGCCAAGACATGCTTGGTGCATTTTTAATTTTAGCACTTGGGTAACAAGACTAACACAGCTAACAAACGAAGGGAGCTTATGTATACCAATTAGCATTGTGCTAACTGCCTAAACCATCACACTGTTTTCTCAAACCAGGTTAAAGTTG